GACCTGCACAGGTTTAGAAATGTACCATCAAAATGTAAACTTCTGTCTTATAAATATTTATAATCCGGTCACAATATCCTTGCATGAAAAAAGTAAGTGATATGCAAACTAAAATAAAAAGAGTCTTAGCCATTAGCTTTATTTGACAGAACAGCCAGTGGAGTTTATTTCCTTCTCTCCAGTCTTCTGAATTACTTAATTTGATGTGCAATAGTTATATAATCAGGTATTACCAGTAACCAGTCATAAAACACAGAAGTTGCCAGAATCATAGAAACAGAGACATTGACATAATCTATATTTTATCAACTTTATAAAGTTGATTAATTTATTTCACAGAATTTGCTCTTTTTTGTTGTATTTCTTTGGTATACTGTAAGTTTTGTTTTATGTAAACTAATTAGTTTTCAAAATAAAGCTACTTTTTGGTAAAATGTGTTATCTTTCTGTTGGAAGTGTCTTGCATGTAAAAAAAAAGCACTCATTAAAACTAAAATCTAATGATTTAACTCTTTTGGCTTAGGGAACAAAATGCAGTCACTGAAGATGAGAAAGACCGTTCAGGCATTCTGTACATCAGTGTGTCTGTTAGAATGAAAACATCTGTGCAAAGGAAATGGCTCTCTAATTAGAACAATGTGACAGCATATCAAGTGAGGCTTAGCTACTGATGTGCAGTGCTTGGTAATGTCCTTATCCTTTCAGTTTAAGCTTTGTTTACAACTGATGGTAGGTACCTACCTATGTCCCCTACTAGCTATTCATTTGGTCTAGACCAATTGCCTCCCCATTTCACATGGGAATTCTGAAAAATAACTTTGGATTAGTCAGTCCTATTGTTATTGTTTTTAACTGAAAAGTTTATTGAGCTAATTGTAGCTTGACATGAAATTGTAAGAAGCATTGTTTGTTGCTAATGTTATGTAAAGTGATGGTACAATATTACAATCAAGATACCTATATTGATACAACCCATCTATCTTCTCACAGCATTTGGATTTTGCTTTGTGTGTTTACACATGTATGTGATTTTTATATGTATAGGTTTTTACACCAATCATCAGAGACTAGATAAAAAAGTAGCTCAGTCAAAGCCATCAGTCAATCAGCTTATCTGAATGGTTCTGAAGAAATTTAGAGTTGGTTGGTACACCAGATGCCATGTCAAGAGTCTTAAAATAAGTAAGCCATTTAAAGTCTTGAGAATAACTTTAGTATTATAATGTTGTGGTGCAAATTCATAAGACTTCCAATTAAGTGTTCACTAACTCAATGAACTTAATCTGGAAAAGTCTAGAAACTTATCTGTAATTTTTTGAACAATTAAGATGAAGGATCTCAGGCAGATGATATAGTTGGAGTAAGAAATGAACAAAGAAATAAACTTTGACACAAAGAAACCAGTAAAACAATGTCCACTTATAAGTGAGTACATAGCATCTGTGTCTTTGTGGGTCTAGATTACATCATCCAGGACAATATACTCTAGCTCCATCTATCTGCCTGTCATTTCATGATGTCTTTTTTTTTAATAGCAGAGTATTATTTCATTGTATAAATGTGGCACATTTTCGTTATGCATTCTTCAGTTGAGGGACATCTAGGTTGCTTCCAGTTTCTTGCTATTAAGAAAAAAGCTGCTATGAACATAGTTGAGCAAGAGCCTTGTGGTAGAGCGGGGTATCCTTTGGATATATGCCCAGGTCTAGGGTAGCTGAGTTTTGGGGTAGAACTATATGAAACTTTCTGAGAAACTACAAAATTGATTTCTAAACTGGTTGTACTAGTTTGCACTCCTACCAGCAATTGAGGAGTGTCCTTATTGCTTTACATCCTTGCCAGCATGTGCTGTCGCTTAAGTTTTTGGTCTTAGTTATCTGACTGGATAGAATCTGAGTCATTTTGATTTACATTTCCCTGATTATTAAGGTGATTGAATAGACACAAAGAAACTAAGTAATAAGGAGGGCCTAATGGAAGAAGCATGACATTCACTCAGAAGGGGAAATAAAATCAGAGGTGGATGGAGGACTGGAGAGTGGGTGAGAAGGAGAGTGGGGATGGGGCTCAGGTAGGGTGGGCAGGAGAGGGCTGGGAGTGAGAATGGAAAGTAGTGGGGGCATCTCTGAGACTAGCCTGGGGTTGGGTACACACCAGGGAGTCTATGGGGATGGCCCTAGATGAGACTCCTAGCAGCAGGGTATATGCAAATTGAAGTGACTCCCTCCTGTAGCCAAATAGAATTTCCAGTGGTGGGCAACATCAACCCTTCCACAGTTCCTCAGACCCTGTATACAAGATGTACAGAGGTAAAGATGGAGCTAAGACTGAGGGACTGGCCAACCAATGACTGGCCCAAATTGAACTCTGCTATGCTTACAGACAGGAGCCTAGCATAACTGTCTTCTGAGAGCCTTCATCCAGCAGCTGATGGAAACAAATGCAGAGACTCGCAGGCAAACTTGGAGCTTGGGGAGTCTTGTGCAGAAGTAGCAGTGGCAGATAAACTGAGGGAGCCAGAGAGACAATCATCAAGGACGCCATAAGAAACTGAGTCAAGTAATGTGAGCACTGAAGGCACTCAGGGTCTAACCACCAACCAAAGAGCATGCAGGGGTAGGCACCCGACGTATTTGTAGCAGATGTGCAGCTTGGTCTTCACGAGGGTCCCCTAACAATTGTCTGTGACTCGGTTACAGCTTGCCATTGTATCCCCTTCCTCTAGCTGGACTGACTGGGCTTCAGTGAGAGAGGATGTGTTTAGTCCTGCTGCTACTTGATGTCTCAGGGTGGACAGGTACCCAATGAGGCTTTCCCTTCTCTGAGAAGAAGGGGAGGGAGTATTTCTTAGAGTGGGACAGGGAGAAGAGGATGAGGACAGAGGGGGGCTGTGACTGGAACATAAAGTGAATAAATAAATAAATAAATAAATAAATAAATAAATGAAAAAAGAACTCTAAAACTCTCAGAATATTCACATAAAATGTGAATATAAAATTTTGTGGATCCTCTGGTAAACAGTTTGACAATTCCTCAATAATGTTAAGCATATACTTCAAACAAGCAAACACCAATATTTAAGAGAGAGACAAAGACAGAGAGAGACAGAGAGGTGGTATCATCAAGTTGGGTCAATAGGAAGATGGGAAGGATCTGGGAAAAGTTGTATGAGTGGAAAAGATGGGATCAAAATATATCATGTGAAAAATTCTTAAATAAAAATGAAAAATAAATAAATAGCTTAATAAACACCAAAGTCTTCTCAATAGTTCTTTAAAAGTATATAGTCTGCCGTTTTTATTTCCCCGCTCATCTTAAGAATTAATTTATTAATGTTTAGAATTTTGTCATTTTTAATGTTATGTGAGTGAAATCATAATAAGAGTAGTGCTACATAAGTGTTCTGAGTATTTTTTCAGACTATTTTTTTTCCATTTGATAAACATAATGCCCAAGAGATTTCCCAAAGCATTGGTTTTGTTATTGGTTAATTTTTCATAGTGTCTATATTGTGGTCTCATCATTTTATTTATTGAAATTCATTTAAATCATGGTCAGTTTGAGGCTACTAGAAATAAAAGTGATTTTTAAAAATCTTTATAAGACTTTATCTGTGAAAGTAAGTTGTGTCTTTCATGGATATATGGCACATAGTACAGTGACAAGTTCTTATTATATTTATCTGTTTTATTCAATAAAAATTGGGAAATTCAGGTTGTTGAACCATTGAGCAAAGTTACATGCAATATTTATAGTGATCTGGTACTGTCCTTCTTTGCATGTGTTTAGTATATCCATTGCTAATTGTTGTCATTTGTTGATTTCATCATGTCTTAATTTCAGTTTTTGTAATGCATGTGTACTTCTAGCTCCTGGGGTCTTAATTGCTGTTTTAAAATTGCTTAATGGCATAACTGATCTGACTGGAATACAGATGTGCCATTAGTACATACATTTAATCCCTAACAATGAAGTTTACTTTGTAGAAAGATGCAGGCATTTTTTAAAGTGACATAAAATTGAGGGGCAGACAAAGTGATGAATCAGAGAAATATTTGAGAGAAAGAATCAGAGATAGATATAACCAAGTCACAGGATAACAGGAGAGGAAGAGATGCTACTTCAGAGCAGGGAGAGAAAAAAGCGGTGGTGTGGTATGTAGTGGATGAGATGTGTTTATGATAGATTTACCAGGGCACTTTTACAGAGACAGTTTACAAAGACAGCAAGCTAGACACAGGCAAAGACAGAATAAGCAGGAGAATGAGAAGGAGACAGAAGATTAAATTGCCAAAGTTAGTACGAAGCTAGGCTAGGCAAGTCAGTCAGAAGCCAAGACAGATTTAATCAGTCAGCTTGGAAAATTAAATTATGATGGCTAGAAGCTTGCAAGCCTAGGCCTAAGGATAGTTAGAACAGAGAAGGAAACCCTCTGGGCTCAGCCCAGCTTTGTAATAGCAGAGGTTGGGTATCCTGTCATTTGAGGAAATAAAAGCAACATTTGCATCTTTCAGCTTCTCTTTCATTACATTCTCACAGGTGTTCACAGAGATTTAAATTTTGACTTTGGAATCAGACTTTTAGTATCAGTTACTATGATCCTAAAAATCCCTGATGTGTGTGTATGTGTGTGTAAGTGTGTGTGTGTGTGTGTGTGTGTGTGTACAAATAGTCTTTTGTAAGTAGTTTATAGTTTTATAATGAAGCAAAATTTCATTTTTGAGGTCTGTGTGTGTGTGCGTATAACACACAAGACAGAGAGGGATATTGTGTGTCTCTAATTTTTACTTCCAGCTTATTTTTCATATGGTTAAAATAAACAGTTGATTGTTACTTAAGTCACTGATCTGTTATCTCCACTTTGTTACTGATCCCAGCAACTTTTCTTTTCTTTCTTTTAGTTTCATTTTTCAGGTTATAATTTCTACCTAGTTAGTTTTCATTTCTTTTATTTCACTCAGGTTTTAAATTTTCATCTTCTCAAGATAACAACCAAAATCCCTTTCCCTGGAGAGGTTGCAGGGGTGGCTGCTGTATCACATGTGTGTCAGTAGATGGCTGAGGGGAGACATACTACACCAGTGCTCAGTATTCTGATCTGTGAACATCTGAATGATTAGTAGGCTAATATTCCCTGAAAAAAAAATCAGCCTGAGATGACCACAGGTGTGCTACACACAAGCCTTGACAGGCTCCCACGATAGGGAGCAAGCTGGAAACTAGAAGATCCCAGCCTCTGACTGTGGGCCCAGGGTAACAGTGAGCTCAATATAAATGAGCCTTGCAAGGAGCCACTAGGGTCAACCTGGTGAGGAGTGAGCTGAGGATAAGCACCAGACTGAAAGACCCCCGAGGAGGCCCCCACTCAAGCCACGGGAGATCACAGCCACCCAATGACTCATGAGACACCAATCTTGTTGCAATCGCAAGTGGTTAGGTTTATTGGGGTAATCAATGCGTTGAGGTCGAGACTCGTAACCCACACAGGAGCAGAGGAGGTTTGACTCCTAGCTTGGGGTGTGTAGGATATTTAAAGGAAAAAAACACAAACCAGGGGGAGTGCTGGACAATACCAGTGGAAGTCTCAGCCTAGTATTCAGTGTGTGAAGATCTTCTAGTTTCAAGAAGCAATCATGGGAAGGTACAGGCTTTTTCTCGAGACTCAATCTTATTCAACCATATCATCAACCTTGTGGTCAGCCAAGTTCCTGGAACACAAAGCCCCAGAACTAACTGACCTGTTCTCCTGGCTCTATTTTACTGCTAGTCTGCTAGAAGTAAAAATTCTATTAACCCTTCAAGACCATCATGATGGGGCCTTGACAGGCAGTTAGCCTGAGATGAACACCCATCTGAAACAGTATAGACCTAGGAAGGCAAAATATGACCAAGAAGAGCCTTGCCTGGCTCCAAAATACAGAAGTGGGTCATAGCACTCCTGAGACTATTTCTGAGACAACTCCAGACACTGGACACCATTAAGAGGAGCAAGCAAATGGTGGAAAAATGGAAGGAAAGGAGAAAGAGAAGAATTTGGGGACAATAAAGAGATGCAGAGATGGAAACTCAAGGGTAGAGTAACAGCCTGGTGTGAATAGCCAGTGATGGTGCCATCTGAGACCATGGTGGAGTCCATGCCTGTGCTGCTACTAGGGGCCTAGACTGGATCTCTAGTCCTGTAACAGCAGTAATCTGTTACCACCAAAGACCAGGTGGACATCCCTGGTCTGGGTTTATATCTGGTGACATGTTGATGTCTAAAGGCTGTGTAGAACTGGTCCCACTTCTCATCTGGATATCATGGGAGAGCTGGCCCTGGGAGCATGGGTACAGAAGAACTGACCCTATGTCCAGCCAGCTGCAGTACTCAGGGAGAGTGGCCTCACACATTATGGGAGCTGGCCCTCATGATAAGAGCATGGACCCTATCAGTCATCTCCTTTTCAGTGCTATGGATAGGGGAGAAATAAAATCCACACACCACACCCCTTAGCCAACCCTATCCACCGTTGCCATGGGATATCTGAGAGGAGTCAAAATCAGGTTCCAGTATTGATGGAGTAGCAGAAGCCTCCAGCAGACTATTAAGCAAAGAAATGTGGACAAAAGATTTTGCTTTGGGACACACTGTAACACACTACAGCTTCATAATGAGACTGCAACCTGGGGGAAGATTACAAAGGTGGAGGCAGGAGGAGGAGACTTGTCCCTGGGGTTATAAGAGCAGGAGAGCTATCCCTTCCTAACACTGTACCTCAGCTGGGCAACAGGATAGAGCTTTCCCTCCTTGTGGAATTTGCTGGGGAGTCATCCCCAGACCATGAGTGGAGGAGAACCTGTGGGCTGATCAGCTCAGAGACCTCTCAGGCCCAGATCCAATCTTTTCCTTTTTTTTCCTCTCTCGGGTTCAGGGAAGGGGGGATTGCAAGAGTGGAGGGTAAGTATGAAGCAAATCGGAGATGAGTGGGACTGGGGTTCAACTCCCCCTCCCCCCTTCCGCTATCCCTTTAAGAACCTGTCCAACAAGTACTTGTGATTCCTGAAATGCCCTTCTATAGAAATGAGGTATTCACAGAACTTTTAACTCTATCCAATGGTATTTCATGTATCCTGGAAACACCTTCCCACTCTACAAGGTCAATATATACCCCCGGTTCACTCCAAATATAGTATATGTGTACAAGTCCACCCAGAATAAAAGTATGCACACAAGTTAAGATCATCAACAAGAGTTGATTCATTAAAGACTATTGGATGAAGATCATAGAAGGCCTTCATCTAAAAGAGCAGAAAATAGCTGTAACATTGCTAAGATTCTCAGAGAAGTGTCCCTGCCCAGTCATAGCATCTGGAGACCCAGGGAGGGAAGAATCAGAAGATGCAGAAATACAGCTAGACCCCAAAACACATACCACATTTGGGTTCTAGATGGAAGGCATATCTCAGGAAATAGGGTACGAAGATGTTTTATTGTGGCCCGCATGTAATTGTCTCGCCAGCAAGAACGCACGCGGGCACCAGGATCCTTCTGGAGGAAATGTTTATTCCAATGAAAAGGAGGAAAGACCCCGGCCCTGAAAAGGCACTGTTTATATACGCTTGGAACAGCGTGTTCACTTCTGATTGGCTGCTTACTCGTTACCCGCCAAAATGCCCCGGGATGGGCTGTGACTTGGCGCTTTTTTACCATAGCACATGCGCAGTTTACTTGTTTACTTGGAGGAGCACCGGATGCCAGCGCCATCTTGTAATGGCGAATGCTGTCAGCACAAGCCGCGGCTTTCCACATCTTATGGCCATGGTCCACATTGTTCAGGGTCACTTTGTCAAATATCCTTATTTCCCTTTTATTTTCTTTTACAGTATAGTTTTGGTTCTCCAAAAACTATGGCAAGGGACAGAGTCCATCTGTGGCAGGATAGCATCTATGTTACTTTTCTGAACGGGAAGTCCAAGCTCATGTGTGTTATGAGTATGTGCACGTGCACATGTGTGCATGCATGCGTGCATGGCTGTGTGTGTGTGTCTATTTGTGTATGTGTCTATGAGTGGTGCTACAGGTATATTCTCATGCAATGTGGCTTCATGAGCCCATGTACATGGGGAAGGGTAAAGACTGACATTGACAGCGGTTGGTTTGCCCCATTATTCCCCACTTCATTTTGATAAACAGAGGCTCTCATTGGTTGGTCTGGAATTTACTGCATTTGCCTAGACTGATTAGTCTGTAAGTACCTGGAATCTCCCTATCTGATCCCCTCAGCACTAGGGTTATGTACATACACATGCAGCAGGTCTGTCTTTTCCATAGGTACTAGAGTTCCAAACTCAGGTTCCCATGCTTCCATAGCAAGCACTTTGCTCACTGAGCCACCTCCTTCATTGTTGTTGTTCTTTACAAATAAGTATTAGTTTAGACAGACTGACAAATAAACAAAACAGCACATTCAATACCCAAAATGTTGAAAGATAACGATGTTGATACTTAAAATGTATAAACATAAACAGTAATGGTTCCCTTCAAAACCTGACTGTCCCACTTTGGTAAGCCTTTGACTGTTATTCTTTGTTTTTCTTTTCTTCTCCACAATGGGGGTACGTGCTGATTTAGTTTAGGTAGGTTCCTTTATTTTAATTTGGATATTATTGGAAAATAAGTGAAAAAATCAAATGAAAATAAGCTTGTTACTTCTTTCTGTATAACCTTTTTTATATGTCAAATATGATAGAGTCCCTTGAATAGTGATGACAATGTCCCAGAATGGTGCCTAAACTCAAGCTAAGTTAATGACAAACTCCACTGGGTGTTGTTGCAGACCTACTGAGAATGGAAAGCTCTGCAGTGCTTGATCTTCATTTTATAAGCATAACTTCCCGTCCTTTTACACCAAGAAGAAATACCCTAAAGAATGGGCAGATTATACTAGATTTGTGGTGACCTGAAAGAGAAGAAACAAAGAGAATAAACAGTATTCAAGCAATGTGATTCTGGAAAAAAAAAAAAAGGAGAATGGTCTAGGAGTTTAAAGGGAGATTTCCTTTAAAATGGGGGTGGTGAGTGGTAGAATGATCCCCTAGTATGCAAATACCCCTGGATTAGATATTAGATACTCTCTCACCTAGGGAACTAATTAAATATGCTTCCTCTCTCTCTCTCTCTCTCTCTCTCTCTCTCTTTCTTTCTTCTGTCTCTCCATTTTTTTTATGGCATGAGGCAGTTATGGCCAAGGGCTTAAGCATAATAACCATGTACTAAACCTCTCTTAAACAGCATCTTTATTTTAAAACCAGGTCTTACTAAGTTTCCCAAGGTATATTTCATACTTGTGACCCCTCTACCTCAACTTCCTGTGCCTATGGTTGCAGGTGAGGGTCACCATGCTGAGATAGGAATGATTCTTTGTGGATGGTCATAATGTCAGGAGAGAACGTGAAAGTAATAAAGATGATGCTGGAATAAAACTTCATGGGGAGTGCTGTGACATAGACCTATAATGTACACAGAAGTCTTTCATGTGGAAGACAGGAAGTATAGATAAACAGTGATAAAGGAGGAGTTAGACAACTGGGAACAAAGACATTGACTAGAGGACATATTTTATTGTTTTATTCTCTATGTGATGGAAAATTAGACCATTGCCGAATGTGGAGTTTGTTGAGAGGTAGGTTGGATAAAGTGTCCAAATAGTACTAACATGACGGTAATTGATGATAGATTGAGTAAGTGGTAAATCACAGTTGCCTGGTCTAGTTGTAATTTACAAAAAGACCACCACACCAAGGTGTGCAACCTTGTGTACATTTATCTGTAAATAAACATGAAGAGAAAATATACATGATGCTTCTTAGGTAGAGATTGTCAATTTATCTTTCTATATAAATATGTGCAGAAAACATCTATGTTTCAAGGCAAAGACTTGGTCAGCAAGGTAATGTATTTAAGCAAGGTCATGTATATTGATGCAGAATCACATTCAGCGATGTATATTAATATTTCCATCCAGGAAGTCCCACTTCAGGTGCATTTCACTTTACCCTCACTCCAAAACAAAGAAGTAATTAGCTGGTTCTTCTTTCATTTCATGTACTCTTAAGCATTCTATTTTTCCCATAATCTTTCTTGTGAATAATT